CCACTCGCCAGTGCGTTTCCACTCTCGAACCCTCTTTCACTCTTCCACACCGCCGATTCCGCCAGCCCCCTCGACCTGACCCCAGTACTGTCCAGTCCCGTTCCCGACCCAGAGCACTGTGTAACCTGGGTCCCAGCTTGGAGGCCCACTGTGTTTTGGGGGCAGCTGCTGTCCCCCTTTTCTCGCTGGATGGGGTTCGGTGGGGTGGCTCTTGCATTGTCTGTGCTGTGGAGATTTGGCTGTTTCCACTTTTTATCTACTGTGAATGATGCTGTGTGAACAGTGGGGTGTGTGTTCTGGGGGGACATGTTTCTGTCCCTCCTGGGTAAATTCTGGTAGCCGAGCTGCTGGGCTGGGGCTTCCAGGGGGACAGTCCCCAGCTGCTGCCGTTCCTGGGGCCGGACAGGGCCCCCCGCTTCTGCTTGGGAGCGGAGTCACAGTTCCGTTCCAGGCCCTGTGGGTGCGCAGAGGGTTAACTTGCGTCTCAGCCCTGGGGGTCACCCCCCTCAGTGTGAGGTCCACTCTCCGTGGTTTTTGTTTTTGTTTTGCACACGAGTGTCTGGCTCACTTTTAGGCGTTTTTAAAAGTGGAGCCCTCGTCAGGTAACAGAACCACCAGGGCTTTCAGTGTGCCCCCGTGCTGCAGGGCCACGGGGTGCTGACCCCAGACGCGTCCGGCCCCGGAAGAGGCGGGCGCCGACGCGCTCGCGTGGGCTGGGTGGTTCGTGTTCCTGGCGGGGACGCGCGGACCCCCGTCTGGGCGCCGGTGTGGGGGAGGCCAGGCGGTCGCTGGCAGCTCTGGCTGCATTTGCGCTCAGCCGCATGGAGGTGTCACTAGCACGACGCCGTGCCGGCCTGGGGCCGCGTCCTGGCGATTCCTGCCGTCTCCTAATGAGTCGTTTTCCTTTTCTTCCTGGTGTCCTGGGGCGAGCAGGCGGTAGCGTCTTGATTGATCATTTCTTGCTTTGCCCGATGGTGTTTTGGCGCTGACCTGGGCGAGGGGCCGGCACCTCTCTCTGGGGGCACCAGCAGGGCCAGCTCGCGCGCCCCCCGCCCCCCCAGAGTGCCTCCTCGCTGAGCTCCCTGACCCGGTGTGGCCTCCTGTGCCCTGGACCCGAGCGGCAGGCTCAGCCCCGGGCAGAGGAAAGGGCCCGTGGGGAGCCTGCCCCCGGGTGTGGGGGCGCGGCCAGCCCCGCTCCCCCAGGCTCGGAAGCTGCTCACAGGCTCAGGGAGGGCCTCAGCAGGACACCAGGCGGCCCGGCCAGGGGCAGGTCCCGGGCAGGCGCTATGTCCCTGCACCCCCCGGGGAGGCCACCCCTGCTCTCCAGCCTCCACCACTCGCCCCCCAGTCCCTCGTCCCAGGTGTTGGGGACCACTCTGCTTGGGGTCTCAGCACGGGCTGTGTGATCACTCCCAGCGTCTGACCCCTCGGTGCCTCGGTCCTCGCCTCTGTGAAGTGGGCGGCCATGGGCTGGAGCTGAGCCCCCTGGGGGGGAGCGGGTGGGTGCTCCCCGCCAGCCCCCCGGGGAGGCCTCTGTTTGCTCTGACGTTGTCTCCGCTCACCCCCCCATCTCCTCCAGGAGCTGCGCAGCTGCTGGGAGACTGGGGTGCTGGCGGGGCCTCCTTGGCTGGAGCGGCGGGTGTCCCGAGCCTCCTCTGCGGAGACCTGCTCTGCTCTGGCTGCTAGAAACTCTCTGCTTTGAGGTAACCACCCTGTGGCTGCGATGGCTGCGTGTGGCGCCGGCCCGCGTGAACCGTGTCCGCTCTGCCCAGCAAGCCCGGTGACTCCCGGCTCAGGCCCGGGGGCTCCAGTCCCGAGGCTTTATGTGCCCGGAGGAGGCCTGGGCTGGACACGGGCGGCCAGTCACAGCTGCCCTCAGGCCCCGGCCGGGACGCGGTACGGCCTCGCCCCCCCACCCGCACCCCACTCTCGGGGCAGGTGACCCAGGCTGGCAGGGCGCGCGC